CCTTTTCTATGATGTGACGGAGTACCAGGAAAGCTGACAATAGGACTCAGGATCAAATGTCAAATCACCAGGATCTTGCACAGTCCCCTTGCTTGGCCTATGTTCTGAAGGTTTTTTGATCACTGGAGCTGCTCTGACATAAACCACATTCAAGGCTAACACACCAAGGGTGGGGACATTAAAATGATGATGCTATAGCTTATCCTGCGACAATCTTAAGGAGTCTTGAAGTTACTCGGGGTGAATATGTTGATTATCATAGTCGCCTATGTGGGGTGGATAGGTTGCTATGGGAAACAATGTAGAACACCACAGACCAAATTTGGGAATCAGCTCTGATAACTGTCAGCAATCAGCTCTGAAACACTGTCAGTCAGCAATCAGTTCTGATACACTGACTGCCATCAATCTCCTCTGATACACTGTCAGTCAGCAATCAGCTCTGATACACTGTCAGTCAGCAATCAGCTCCGACACACTGTCAGTCATCAATCAGCTCTGACACACTGTCAGTCATCAATCAGCTCTGACACACTGTCAGTCATCAATCAGCTCTGACACACTGTCAGTCAGCAATCAGCTCTGATGCACTGTCAGTAAGCAATCAGCTCTGATGCACTGCCAGTCATCAATCAGCTCTGAGACACTGTCAGTCATCAATCAGCTTTGACACACTGTCAGTCAGCAATCACCTCTGACACACTGTCAGTCATCAATCAGCTCTGATACACTGTCAGTCAGCAATCAGCTCTGACGCACTGTCAGTCAGCAATCAGCTCTGACGCACTGTCAGTCAGCAATCAGCTCTGACGCACTGTCAGTCAGCAATCAGCTCTGACGCACTGTCAGTCAGCAATCAGCTCTGACACACTGTCAGTCAGCAATCAGCTCTGACGCACTGTCAGTCAGCAATCAGCTCTGACACACTGTCAGTCATCAATCAGCAGTGATTTAGTACCAATTGCGACTGTGTTTGTGGGGAAATTCACTTCCTGGGGGAGAATCATTATTTTGGACGCCACAGTTATGGACACAGAATGCTGGAAGCAGCAAGTTACCCAAAGCTACAACATTTTCCTCAGAGAGCATTTGCTATTCACCGTTATATGGAGTCCAATATTTATGGCATGTGCACAAGTGACTAATTACCTTTCCTGTACAAATAGCCTAGAATGAGAGACCTTTTTATTACAAGTGCTATTTTCGTGAATTGTCTGTCGTTACGAATTCATGTCCAGGACGGAAATCATTACTTTTGCTCCCTTCCTCCAACCCTGTGCCTGAGCCGCTGTTCCCCATGAGCTTGTAGAACAGAAGCCGGACCGCCTTCATCTGATGAGCAGACCTATAGGAGTCGGGACAGCCTGGCCACCAGCCGGTCCAGTTCTGTGGCTTCACCAGTGACTGATCCTGCTCTTAGCAGGCCATGCTCTTTGACCTCTGTGTGGGGTGGAGTCTGTGCCTGGTGTTCCACCCTTTGTCTGCTGAGTGACCATCTGCTCGTGCAGCAGCAGAACCCAGACTTTGCGCCCCTTCCCCATCGGCAGCACTGCTCTCACTTCCTGTCTTACATATCTGTACGCATTTATGTTCATCCATGTTCCTTATTTACATGTACACCTAACTCATGTACAAGACAGGAACTATTCTGCAGCTACACTATGTTTTAAAGTGTTTGTGTCTTCTCTGTAGCCCATGTTAATTTAGCACATGATGAATGATCAGTGTAGCCTGTCTGGCTAAATCAAAACTCAGTCACAAGAAGGAACAAATGATGACTGGTTGGATATTCCATGTAGGTATTGCTTTGTGGTGACGATGGAGAGAAAATGGACATAAGTGGAGAGGAGAGTCTGACAGCAGACCTTTCCCATCCCCTGTTGAGCAAATGGATACAGAGACATAGCAGTTTAGGGCATGAGGGCAAACCCGAGGTTACCCATAACTGTAAAATGATTGCTTTCCCTTCATTGTCCTCTCCATGCCCTGCAGCCTTGCCATTATCCTGTGTCATTTGCCAAGAAGATCAGCTATCACAGTGCCCACACTAGAGTAAATACACAATAAATGTTTTGTACGAATGAATGAATGAACAAATGAAGTCATTCCAGTCCTTTCATTTGACAGGTAAGGAAACAGACCCAGAGGTGCACAGAACAGGAAAGCAGAAAGCACCCCTGTGTGAGCTGCTACCACGTTCACATTCCCAACACCACGGGGTGCTTCCACCTCTATTCAGTGTCACCCTGTCAGAAAAAGCATAGCCCTGGCCAGGTAGCTCAGTGGTCAGAGGGTCGTCCCGATAGGCCAAGGCTATGGGTTTGATCCCTGGTCTGGGCACATAGAAGAAGCAACCAATGAATGCATAAATAAGTGGAACAACAAATTGATGTTTCTCTCTCTCTCTCTCTCTCTCTCTCTCCCATCTCCTCCTCCTCTCTCACTAAAAATTAAGAAAAATAAGCTTTAATTACACAACTATATGTTAGAAGAACTTGAAGCCACATGAATAGGTGGTAACGCATGTTCGCATGTGTACATGGAGAGAAATAGAATGAACTATGGCTTTGGGTGGCAGGAATCTGCTTTTCCTAACCTGTGCTGTTTCGATGGTAGCAGGTGGGAGATAGGGTACGCTCCCACCAGACTTCAAGGCTGCAAACCAGAGCTCAGTTTCTGATCTTGTGACCTGACTCCAGGCAAACCCTTTGTTGTCTCGGAAGCTTACTTTCCCATCTATGAAGCCAGGCGCATAGCAGCAACCCACCCGGGTGGTGAAGGGAGGCGCATGCAAACAGCCAGCCCCAGGGAAGAAGGGAGGACCCTGGCGCTCCAGCTCCCAGGAGGGTGCAGAGCACACAGGCCTTTCTCAGCTGCGCTCTGTTCCCTTGGTGACCGGTTGGGAGTGTCAGCGCAGCCCAGCCTTCATTTGTGTGAACAGATGGAAATCGTGTAAAAATGCACTTCCCCGTTACTGTGGTCTGTGCACAATATGTCAGACGGAAATGGCTTCTGCTTCTAATTCTTTTGAATTCACAGTGTAACGTAACTGAGTAATAGAGAAATGACTGCTACAAACGCACGTGTTTCTTCTCATAAGCGTCTATCTATTCTCTAAGAAAATGGAACCACTCCGAGAACCAGAGGCAGGAAAGCGAACGTCCCTGCACGGGCAGCGTAACTCCGATGAGCAAGTGGCCATGGGCTGCTTTCCAATAACCAAGATGCTAGCTTTTCCGACATTCCTGTCAGCGGCAGCGCTGAGCGCCTGCTCACAAGGAGCCCACCAGGAAATGAGGGGCATTCTCAGCTGTGCACAGGAGGCCTTCGCCGGCGACGTCATGCCTGCCTTTCACATAACACTGCCTAGACCAGCTGTGGGCAAACTACGGCCCGCGGGCCGGATCCAGCCCATTTGAAATGAATAAAACTAAAAAAAAAAAAAGACCGTACCCTTTTATGTAATGATGTTTACTTTGAATTTATATTAGTTCACACAAACACTCCATCCATGCTTTTGTTCCAGCCCTCCGGTCCAGTTTAAGAACCCATTGTGGCCCTCGAGTCAAAAAGTTTGCCCACCCCTGGGATAGATAGAGGCAAGTGTCAACATTTCTGTTAAGCTGTTTAGCTTTCCATTTTTATATTAAAAATTTCAGTTAAAATGCAATAAATTCACACAAAATAATAAGATCAATCAAGATACACTTCCAATATCTCTTCTCGGCTCTCTGCTGGCTGCTCCCTGGAGAGCCCGGGGCAGCAGGCAGGGCAGGCCGAGCTCTGCCTGTTTGGCTTTGGGCCTCCTTGGCAGTGAGGCCATGTGTGGCTGCAGGAGGAGCACGGGCTGTCAGAGGACAGAGGCCAGCACCAGCTCCGCACCGTCTTCTAGGACCGTCTGCTGCATCAGCGTAACCCACGGGGACAGGCACAACTCTGTTCTCTTTTCTCCAACCGCCAGCGGGCGGGAGGCGCCTTGCTCAGCGCCCTGTGGGCTTCTGGGACAGGGACACTGATGGAGTGAAGACAGGAGTCGGGAGAGGCCCGGGTTGATTAGAATGACAGGGGACCTCAATCGCCCAGGACAGCTGCTGACAGCAGGGAATTCAGCGGCCAGAGAGGCTGAGTCAGCCCTTGCAGCCAGAAACCAATGGAAGAGCACTGAATGGGCATGCGGCTCAACCGCAGGACATGGCGTTTTTTGTTTTTTTTTTGTTTGTTTGTTTTTCAAAGAGGCTGTTTTTATAAAAAACCAAAACTTCTAAGAGTTTACTCCCCCCCCGCCCCCCTAAATCGACCTAATTTTACTTCACCTAAGAAAAGTGCACACAGAACAAGGAAGGTGTTAAACACATCCCCTCCGTTTTCTGGCATTGAGATTACAGGTGTGGGCATGGCAAGCTGACACCGGGGGAGGGAAGGACCAGATGTTAATGGACTCAGACCCAAGAATGTCAGGGAGAGGGAAGGACGTGGAGCTGCCCCTCGAGAAGAGGAAGACAGTAATGGGGTCTGGGAGAGGGGGAGGACAGGAATATGCACTTCGTCAAGAAGAGGCTGCATGGCCAGGGGCATGCGATTGGAGGCAGGGCGGGAGCGGAAAGCGTGAATGTGAGCACTGGCACCATCCTTCCCCAGAGGGGTGACCAGGGACCGGCTCAGAAACTGCATGTCAGCTGCTCGGTGTGTAAGAGGAGAGCAGCATTGCTGTGAAATTTGATTAAATCAAGCGCCGCGTGTGAGCCACCTACTGTGCACGCATGCGGCCATCAATGAAGGCCGGCCTTCCCACCACCTGCCTGTGGGTCAGGAGAGGCGTCACCAGGCTGTGAGAGGGCTGTCTGGGAAGGTTCCGCCAGGCCAGGAGGTCCACTGTCCAACCCGGCCATGTACGTAGGTGCTGGCTGCTCTTATTTGTCCTCATAGGTTACCTGCATCGCCTTTCAAGGTGGTGGGCATTTCCACTGCCACATAGTGCAGCCTGGTGCTTGCCGACTCACCTGTACAGAGCAGAGAGGGGCCTCTTGTTCCCGGGTTTTGGTCTGTAGGGCTTGGGTTCCCCGGCCATGTTGATATCTGGAAGCATAAGACAAAACAGCACGGATTAAGAAACTATGAAGCCATTTGAGGAAAGTAAACCATGAAGTTTTATGTTCTTCTCGCCACTTGTCTGTGCAAATGTTACATGTCCTTCACTCATTCAACAAGGATTTATTGAGCACTGACTTAGATCCAGCACTGGTGGAGATAGGTCGCGAACCGAGCAGGTTAGACACACCCCTGTGGAAACCATCCTCTACTGGGGAAGCAGACTGTGGGTAACAGACATAATAAGTGAGAAAAGTACCTGACATATTAGAAGCTGATCAGTAGTATGAAAAGAGAAAATGTTGAACAGGGTAGGGGGTATTAGGGATGCTACCTAAAAATGAAGAGAGACAGAAAGAGAAGAGAGGGGAGGGAAGAGAGAGAGAGAGAGAGAGAGAGAGAGAGAGAGGGAAATATTAAGAAGAGAGCATATTCTTTGCTTCAGGAACAATAACTCTGATAAAGTCACTAAGATTCAATAAGAAGATGCTTAAATACATGACAAAAGAGTATCTGCATGCAATTGACCAATTCAATTTTTAAAAAATGTATAAAACATAAGAAATTGGAAAGTTGAGTACAAAGGTTTGGAAAATGACATAATCAACTAGATTTAATACAGTTAAAATGTCCAAAGGACAATAAAAGGGAAAATCCAAAGGAGGCAGAGTTGAGGAACGATTGGAAAGAAGTGAGGGGCATTATTTTGTAAGAAAAAGGGAAGACTTCTGTGGAGTGGATTCACTGCACTGTGTTAGGGATGGATGAACACACTGAAAGGAAATTAATTAGAAGGTGGCTGGTGGGGTGGGACTGGGCAAGATGGGTCAGACATGCCCTGGAGCCAACCTCCCACGGTCCCTCCCCGGCCGGCAGCACCTGGGAGGGTGCGGCCCAAAGGGTGTCTGTGGAGTGAGTGGAGTCCCTCCGGCAGGTGGGGTCCCTTGGCCGGGCCTATGGGGATCGGGCCAAAACTGGCTCTCCAACATCCCCCAAGGGGTCCTGGATTGCGAGAGGGCAGTTCTCGGGTAACACAACCAGGAAGCGGACTCCCTCCTCCCTGGTTCCAGGGTGCTTCACCAGAGAACCGCCGCTACCAATCACCGCAGCTTGGCAGCTCCTGCATTGCACATCCACCCCCTGGTGTCATAGCTACTGGTCGGAGTGTCTACCCTCTGTTGGTCATTGTGCATCATAGCAACCGGACGGATGGTCAGATGGTTGCTTAGCCTTTTATATACATAGATATGTAAATTTACACATTCAACACTGCTTTAGTGACCATCATCTGAAATCTAGTGGTTGTGTCATGGGTGAGGGTGAAAGGGGTTGGTTAGGGACAAGGGACAAGGGACAAGGGACAGCAAGCAGGAAGCTCAGCTAATCAGTGAACATAAAGCATTGCAAAGGCTGGGATGAGGGAGCACTTCCTTCGTATTGAACTTTATAAATACAAGATTTAATTGTGTCTTGAGAACAACCCAACTTCTCTGGAAGCCAAAGCTTAGGTTGTTATGTCTCAAGAGCTGTTGACCTTGGAGTGACCATAGCTACCAAGTGAATGGCATCTTAACAGTACCCTCTGTGGTCAGTGTCAGAGCGACTCTGAGGCGTTCTTCCCTGATTGTCCTGGCAGTGTGCCAGTGACGCACAGGTAGGGCCAGAAGAGAGATGACCAGCTTCCATGTTAGCCCACTCTCATAAGACATGAGCTTTGGAGCAAACTATTAAGATACATACAGAAGATAAAGTGTCATTTCTTAAGTTCATCAGTTTGCCAGTAAATTCATACCAAATACTAATATTTAGGAATCTTATAGCGTTCTCAAGAAAGGATGTGGACTTAATTATTCTCAACAAATTCTTTTGAGATGGTCCATGAAATCCTAGTTGCATTCCCACTTGTTGTGCAGAAGTTCCTATGGAGGTATCTGTGTACCAAGCTGGTGGACTCCAGTCCCTGAGTCCGAGAATCGGATTGTTGTAGAGAGGGTTGGTGAAACCAGGTAAGTACCACCAAAGAGCAGTCTCTTGAGGAGTTTCTGTTTGGGTTCATCTGGGTGGAGGAACTCCCCCGATCCCTTTCCAGACACAGGGACAAAGCAGAGGGAGCTAAGGCTTTGCCTGAGCCCAGGAGACCCCTGGACACAGCAGACCTCCACATAGGGAGGGGTAGGGGCCTGCGACATTGTGAGTCTCTGTAAGGACCGACTGAGAGCCTTATACAATGGAACCATATCTATATTTTTAAATATGTTTTTATTGATTTTAGAAAAAGAGAGGAAGGAAGAGGTAGAGAGAAACATCAATGAGAGAGACAAGCATCGATGAGAGAGAACCATCTATTGGCTGCCTCCTGCATTCTCCCTGCTGGGGATGGAGCCAGAAACCAAGGCATACACCCTGCCTGGGAATCCAACTGGTGACCTCTCTGTGCATGGGATGATGTTCAACCAACTGAACCACACTGGCCAGGGCAAACCCATATCTATTTTGAGGTTTCAATATTTCAAGTAAGCATAAGAAATACAGAAAAGAGAAAAATTTATCCTTCTAATACTAAACCTCAGATTCAAACAATTGAAAAATATTCTGTTGGGCCACTAGCTTCACTGAAATATATTCAATGTTCTAAAAAATTTAATGAGTTTTCTTTTCTTCTTTAGTTTTACACTAAATAAGCAATGTCAATATACCATGAGAGAAATAACCAGAAAGTTAGAGACCTGGAAAAAGTCAATGAGCTGAACGAACCTCTTTGGATTTGAGGTAAATGATTCGCGGCAGAGGGAGACAGGTGCCATTGCAAAGTGCCATCCTCAGAAAGGACAGCCTACATACGGAAATGTACTTACATGTCCAGTTCCTGGGGGCGTTCCATTGAAAGTGGTAGTGGCCTCATTCTGTGAATTTATGCCTTGAGTCTTGGGAAGATACCTCCAACTCTATACCCAAACTCTCCTCTTCTCCCACCTCACTTAGACATTGTTCCAGTGGCACTGACTACTGACTGCCCCTTTGACCTGGGACATCTACAAGACAGTCATCATTTCACTCCCTTCCTGTGCCCTTCAGCATCCTGCCCAGGCGTGTTTATCCACCAGGTGCTCAATGAGCCTGCCAGTCCACTGGCTTTACACAGCCCAGCAGGTGTAGCTCCGCATGGCCTGCGGAAGTGGCCATGACAGCTCACTCGGTCAGGACTGGCCAATGGGCTAGTTACCTGAAGAACGTTTTGGAGGTTGCTGTTAGGTACACTGCCAAACACATAAATCATGGCAAAATGCCATCATATATCCCTTTCTTGGATATCTGTAATGGATATTAAAACATAAGATTCTGGAAAAAGAACGCTCAGTTATGTTCCCCTTCAATGTTTTTATATAGATGTGAACATAGAGATGTTTTGGATGTTACCCAGCCAAACAGAGCGCCCCTAAAATAATAGTTTGTGAGACAACCAGAAATATTTAAAAAAGTATTTTACATTTATTTATTTGCATGTATTCAATCTGGAATATCCTCATAAAAGTGAATTGAATCTTTGAAATCATGTAATATTTACACTATTACAATAAACAAACACCTGTTACCTATCTCTACCACCCTGTGGGCATCTGTCGTGGAGAGAGAAATTTAACCTTGATATCAAAGTTATGTCTACCTCATAGAGTAATGAGGCATCCACATTACCAATGTGATCTTTTTATTTATTTTTTAAAAATATATTTTATTGATTTTTTACAGAAAGGAAGGGAGAGGGATAGAGAGTTAGAAACATTGATGAGAGGAAAAACATTGATCAGCTGCCTCCTGCACACCCCCTACTGGAGATGTGCCCACAACCAAGGTACATGCCCTTGACCGGAATCAAACCTGGGACCCTTCAATCCACAGGCCGACACTGAGCCAAACCGGTTAGGGCACCAATGTGATCTTTTTAGATGGAGAAAGCATTTACAAGAAGAAAAACAATTTCTAAGTGAATTAATGAAAAGTAATCTCATTATTCTTGGGATAGTTTTGCTTTACTCCCTGCCCCGGGATTCAATAAAAGTGTAAATAATTCAGCTATGGCACCAACGCTGCCAGGAAAAGCCACTCAGTCTTTTATTGTTCACATTTGGAAGATTTAGAGATTCACTCCTGTTTCATTGAATAAAAATCCAGGAGATGAAGAAAACAGTCTGCTCTGTTTGACAAGTGAAGGCGTAAAGCCATCCATTACCCGGCACAGGCACCGATCCGGCGGGAGTGCAGTTACTGTGAGTCAGCACCTCAGGACAATCCTGGGAAATACGCAGGCGGGTCCCTCCTCCCACGCCACATAGACAGATGTCCCAGAGGCCGAGAGACTAAATGGCTCCCATGATGATACGTGACAACTGTCTTTACTAGTGAGCTCAGGCCCATGCCAGGCACTGTTCTGGGAGAGAGGATAGCCTGAGCCTCCGCAACAGCCAGGAGCCACAGCTCCACCAGACCTGGTCCAGGACCCCCACTCCCCACCCCGTCTCACGGCTCTTCACCAGTTCAGGACGCCACTGTTCTCTGCCCCTCGGACCTGGCCTGGCTGTGGGAAGCAGCAGGGAAGTCCTGTCCTGGTCCCAGGGGTCTTGGCATCCTGGAGGCTATAGGATTGAGGGGTGCTGTGGGGGAACAGTCTGGCAGTGATGGGGAAACACGTCTGACTCTCGCTGAGCTGCCTGGTGGGTTCCAAGGCGGTGGTCAGCTGGGGCTGCCTGGGGTGCTGGACCTCAGGGCGATGCCCCAGTCTTGCAAAGCGAGCCGGGTCCAGCTGTGTTCTCCAGTGCGGGCTTCGGGGCCATTTCCAGCTTGAAGCTAAGGGAGCATGCAGCCAGTTTTGTACAAAAGTGAATGGTTCTCATCTTGTTCTTCTTGCAGAATCAGAGCCAGCTTTAGCATCTGGAATAGGCCCCTATGGCATGTAAGCTAGTCACCGTTATGGGACTGCAACTGTAGCCTCC